CGTCGCACACGCGCAGTGACTCGCACTCCCACGGAAGGTGCTAGCTGCTCTGTGAGAGGAGTCGTTCTGTTTTTCTTATGCGAATAGTTGCGTTGATTTGGTCTGCTAGGTTTGCGAGTGCTTCACGGTGAGTTGATCCCGGGCTTCTGCCAAAGGTTTCGCGTCGGTGTACGTAACCGTGTGGTGCTTGTTATCTGGTGAGGTTTGTGAGTTTGTCCTTCCCCATTGGCGAGTCACGTCCTCGGGGGACGAGATGCCTCGACGGGACGTCCTCAACCTACTCGGCTTACCTCGGTTCGTGTCCATATTCATGAGTCGGTCGATTGCACGCCCTCCTTGCTTGACTCCATTCCTCTCTGCAGTCATTTTCCGTCCAATCGTATGTCACGTGCTGTCCCCAGTATTCATTTTCTTCGTAGCCGTCGTCTTCGTTCGTCGTGCCTCACTGCTTGTTCTCTCTTGTTTCTCATCCACATGATCACTGACCGGTGGTCAGTTTCGACACCTGCCGATCGGGTTCGGGGGCTACGAGACGCGCAGCGGCCTCTCGCGCACGGCGTACATCGACACCGCCAGGCGGCCGCTCGAGGTCCTGGAGACCTGCCCGATCGATAGGGCCGGCAGGTAACACATAAGGAAAACGTTTCGACAAAATATGCTGGCCTCCTATTTTCGTACAACGGCAGGAAACCAAAGTGATGTGCGGCGATGATGACGCTACAGCCATAGGTTCAAACAGCATACGTAGGGTTGGTATTGCGAGGGTCTGCTGCCTCTGGTCGATGTTCCTACCATGTGAGAAGGTTGAGATTTCCCGCATCCTGCGAAAAAGCTGGTGGCTAGGTGCGCAAGCGGGTGGCATTGCGCTTTATGCGCGATCAATGTCGGTCGCCTTCATCGTCCTCCTCTCCTATTGTATCTGTCAACGAATATCCCGTGGGTGTTATCATGTTCCCCCTTTCGTTCGTCGATGTTCGCTCTGCCCCCATCCCGCACCCCACTGTGCCATCAGAGGTTGTGGCTGACGGTTTCCAATGTTTTTAACGACCGAATGCCATCTATGAAGGTTAGACGCGGCGTGCATGTTTGAGCTACCGTTGTACCAATCCCCTCTTTCCCGTCCCTCTTCCTTCAGAAGCTCACCACCGCTAAATCTCTTCCTCCTCCCTATTTCAATCACGAGCTGTTATTGTTGATCTCAAACCGGACAATCAGCTAAGACTTGCTGTTCCAGGGCAACACCTTAGACAGAGGCCCCAGACCACGATCTGGAAGCAGATGACGGAAGGGAATGGGTCTGGAATATCCGTTCCGGTAAACCGCGCTCCGTTGGAAGCGAGCGACATGGTGACGGCCACGGCGAGGGGGATCTTCGCCGTCAGCTCCCCCGTGGACGGGTGAGAAAACGAACGATACTCGGGGTAGAGAACGGAAAATCCTTTGGTAGACAGACAGATAGACAGAAAGAACGGTAGACATACAGACACACAGACAGACAGATAGCTAGACAGACAGGCAGTTAGACAGACAGATAGATAAATAGACAGACAGACCGGCAGACAGACCGATAAGAGATATAGGCAGACAGGCAGAAAGGCAGTCAGGCAGCCACGCCGACGAAGAGAGAGAAAGCGGGCATGGAGAACTGTCGCGTGGTGTTGTCGCTTATGGTTTCCTAGGCCATCGCATCGCATACTTTGGCTTGCTTGTGTTTGCCTCTCGCGTCGGAGATAAACACTCGGTTGTGGATGTGCGCGTTCCAAGCCCCACCTGGCAGCCTGCGGGCAGGCGACCATTTGATTGACGGGTTCGTTGGAACAACGCGTTTGTTCCCGACAAAATCGAGCAGGGCCGGACTGTTTCCGTCACTACGAGATGATTCTGGAGGGAAACATCGCCTTGGTGCCGGGCGTGTATGGCGTCAGGAGTTTCATGGAAGGGCTTCCGGCCTTCTTCCTTGGGGGTGAGTTGTTTCGTGGAGCATACTTCTTGTGTGAAAATTCAATTTTTCGAGTTTTACCCCCACACACATACCGCCGACTGGTCGACATCATGTGTGCCTCGCCCGGTACCTGGTTGTCGTGCCTAACATGAGCAGCAGGACAGGAGGAAGCCTGAAGAAGCCTTACCTGCGGCCCTCTTTCGCAGATGGCGGAGACCGTGCAGGCCAAGATAAAGGCACGATGGGGGCCGCCGTTCGACAAGCTGACGCACGGCTTCTGGAGGGGCTACGTGCGGCGTGAGATCTTGCGTGCGGCAGGGGTTGGAGTGACCTCGGAAGGCGTCGCCGTCGCGGACGAGGACCCCACCGCCTCCGCCTACGTGGAGCGGTCGGCCCTCCCCATGAACTCCTCCGGCTGGACGACCTTCCGGCAAGTAGGTTACTTCTCTCGCGAGGAGGGGCATCACCACGACGACCACCGGTACCAGCCACCGCGACCGCAGCGGCACCACCATCACCAGCCATGCAGGACTGTTCACTGGTCAACGAAACCGTTCCATCAGATCCCGCTTCACAAGGAGGCGGACGTAAGAACAACAACGAGGAGCGAGAGAAAACCGTCCGGCTCTCAACACGAGCAGCTGCTGCTGCTCCCAGATGATCACGAGTCCGTCTGGCTTGATAGCCCAGACCGGACTCCCGAGGGCTGCGCCACACACCACCCCACCAGCGCCGGCGGGGGAGGGGTCTGGTTTTTGGGCATCAGTTTCGGGGGCGGGTGAGTTTTTCTTTCGTCCACGCAGCCCTCGAACGATACCTGTCCTCGGTTGCAAAATTGCGGAGTGGGTAGCCCACAAGGCGCCCTCGTTATCCGACAACATCTCCATCGGTTGGGAGGATGCTTGGGGGGCGTTATCGTGGCTTGGTCCTTCTTCCCCGTCTTACAGCTCAATCAGTTTAACATTGTTCCCGACCGTACGCTCATCTTGTCTCAGGTGCTGGTGCGATACCGTCCCCGGAAGATTCTTACCGATGGATCGGTGCTAGATTGGTTGCGACGGGGAGAAGGGCGGGAGCAGTTACGGAGGTGATTCATGATGTTTTCTTGAAAGTACGATCCTCGACTGTGCAAGAGTAAATGCAGCCTGCACGTGAAAGATGATGGTGTGTCGAGTGACACGCGTGCAGCGTTGAGCTAGCTCATCGTAGGAAAACTGCCCTTGCCATGCGCCACGTCAAATATGTGCTGCGCGAACGGGCGACAGTTCTGCCCATAGCGCATTGGATGCAAAGGTGTACCGTCTGACTCCTTATGGACAGTCTCCCTCCCCGTTGCCGTCGTGACAACAACGGCAACGACAGCAGCAGGCACCCAAGCAAGCTGCGTCTACGTGTTCGGTCCGGAAGACAGAGACGCGTCGTTCGAGTACATGGGCTGTTGCCCTTCGACGGAGCACGTCACGTTCCACGCAGCTGTTCATCTCGGGTGCGTCCCTGGCCTCCGGTTTTTGTCGGTCGTACATGCCTCCCGCTGACGATTTTCCCTTTTCGTTTCCCCTTTCCAAGCATGGCACAGTTTCGGATGGAAAAGCGCACTCCCCGGAAGGGGGGCGTAGAAGAGGAACGCTGTGCAGCCACCTGCATACGGACGGTACATTTGTCGGCCCAATAACCCAAAGTGTCAACCCTCCACCTGCCCACAAAACCAACCTCATGACCCCCCCTCTCATTTGAACCACCGCCGCCTACAGAAAAGCGAACACGCCATTCGTGTGCGAGGCGCTCTGCACGTCCATTCGGTACCCGTTCTTCGCGCTAGAGAAGTCGAAGCTTTGTCTCTGCGGAGTGATGCCCGCTAACACCCCCCGCTCGAACAAAGTTCCTGCCTACATCAATCAAGGAGGAGTACGAGCCGCCCCCCGCTCCTCCGAACGCCACCTTGGCTGCGAAGCCCGTTCCAATGGGGTGCGGGTGGGAGACCCGCGGTTCGAGTGCCAACGCGATCGGTGTGGAGGAAGCTCGAGGATGTGGGGCTGTGGCGGAGAGAACGCGTACGATCTCTACAGGAACGTCGATCCCTGCGTGCTCTACCGGGACTGTCGATACTGACTTCTGTTCCAATACTCGATTTATCTCTCCGTCGCCACCACTCGAGTCCTCTCTTGCGGTATGTGCATATCCTCACATCCAGCCCGTAGTCGGTGAAACGTAGGCAGTCCATGCTATCAGTCAAGGTTGAGCTATGGCTGTGCCTTGTTTTGGATATCTCCTTGTGATTGAAGCCCGCGGGGCTCCCCCCCATGGCTTGAGGTTGTGTAGGTGGCCCTTCGGTGTTTTTTCGCCACGGTCGTGGACACTCACAGGAATAACCGCCTCCCCGGCGCGCCGACGGCGTGCATCTCGACCCTCGTGAGATATTGCGCCAAACTCGCGCTTCTTCATTGTACGGACAATAATCGTGAAGTATTGTTTTCAATTGCCGAAGCTATTCAGAGTCATACTTTCGGCCCTATTATAGCGTATGTGTAGATCGACGTCGTCGGTGCATCTTGCTGTTGGCTGTGGTGTTGATGGTGCACGTTTGTGTGTCCTTGTTGATATCGTCCTTGGGTTCGATACCGCGTCACTTGTTTGCGTGGCAGATTTTTTGAGCTGGAGTAGTCAAACGTTCTTGTCCTCGTCGCCAAGAATTTTTGTCGACGGGTATGCTTTGTGTGGCCTCTCTGGCTCATTCAGAAACTGCAAGTATTGCTTGACAGGCGGAGTGTTGTACGTGGGAACGGTGAGGCCGTGTGGTGGTAGTCCGCTCGAGTTCATGGAAGTGATACATGTTTGATGAGGGCACCGCACGGGGTGACCCGACATGCCCTCGCATGTTTCTCGCGGCTGTTTACCGCGTCTGCCGCAGCACAAGGGGGCTACATCCTTACCCAGCAAACAAGAACAAGTCTCAGGGGGGGTATTGTGGAGATATCTCCTTCGAAATGGGGGACAATCTCGAGGACGCTTCCCTCACTTCTGGTGGTCGAATATCAGAATATTTACAGCAGTTCGAGGCAAACGTGCACGCACGAGACGAAAGTCGAAAAACAATAAAACGGCGGAAGACACCCACAAAGGACGCACCAAAGACACACGCAATGCCATTCCCGAGCAGTCAACACCTTGAGCTGAACGTGCCACCGTTCGACTCCTCGGGGTCTTCACGACGCCCGTGATAACCATGCCGTACAACCGCGTTGTCACAAAAAAAAGCGTTTGAGATACCCGCTTTGAAGCACGGGATGAAACAAGCGCTCGAAGTAGATACAGACCTCACGCACACACAGAAGCAAGCACTCTACATCTCAGCAAAATCGCCGATTTGAATCGAACGCGCCACCGCCCGACCCATTTCGTATTCGCGACTCCCGAAACAACTTGCTTCAAAGGCGACTACCGTACACGGACCACCACAACGACACGCAGAGTCTACACTATTTGACAGCACGGTATCCTACCGGGCCTCCTAAACGATTCACATGCCAACGTGTTCCGTCTTGAGACCACAACCGGTATATATAGTGTGCCATCTCCTACCTACCCCACCCGTCAACCCTTGCACTCGATCTCAATAGATTGCATGCATCATTGGCGTGGTGGGTAAATTATTCTCGTCAAGCTCACGTTTGCCTCTAAAACACGCGCATCTCCATAAACATCCAGTGTAACACGCAAACAGTCGGCATCGCGGCCTGTTATAACGCCTCGTCTACCTGACGCTCTCTCCATGAAGCAAAAGCTCCCTCCTCGGACCTCGAACAGCCTGAGTGTACATGTAAGAGCGATAAATAAATCCCATCGTATCGAGGAATGCTGAACCACGAAAGGCGCAAGGACAGCAAACGCACCGACCACTCCTTTCGAGACATCCCCATCCTAGGATAAACAAAGCACATCCGATCCAAGAATTTGCCAAATGGGCGCCTCCGGTAGGTCTAGCTACACCCATCACCGTCCTCGCCTTGGCGGCCTATACAAGAAAAACCAATTGACGGTGCCTCTCGAAACCCCACATCGGAGCGCATCAACACCTCAAACAAGTACATACATAGAGTCCAAGTACGGAAGACCAAGACAGTCAATGCGTTCCCTCGTTCGAGCAATCCTGCACTGGGAGAGACCCAGAACAGCAAATGCACTACACGCCGTTGGAGGCGTAGTCATACACCACAGTCAGAAGCCTGTAGCAGCGGAAAAGCGCTGCCCACATCTCAGGCGGTGAATGGGGGGTCAACATTAACCTCCCACACCGTCAGCGGCCGTATGGGTAGCAAACTGTCTTTCTGACAACATCACGGCCAACACATGTCGTGTTCTTGAAGATACCATCCCCCTTATCTTCGTACAATCAATCCGCATCACCTCCCCTCCCGTCTCCCCTCCTCCGTCCCTCCCTACACAACCATCTCCTCCATCTCCTCCAACGCCCTCTGCCAAAGCAAGTCGCCACTCCTCCGTCCCTCTACCACCATCCCCCGCTTGGTCTTTGATATTTGTTTTCTATATTGATGTGTAGCAACATTAGTTTTCGCTACCTCGTTCTTCTTCGCCTCCTCAACACCGCTCGCGGCCTCCATGGCCTGCGGCCTCTACGACCTGCGGCCTGGGCACCATTCCGCGTCACCCCTACCTCTGTGCCACATTTCTCCCCCAAAACTCTTTATCACAACGGGTCTCTGCCGTTCCTCCCTCCTTTCCTCTCCCCCCTTTCCAGTCCTCTCATTTCCGTGCTCCCATGCAATGTTTGTAGATCTGGACAACCTACGCGTCGTCCTGCTCGGTACCCTCCTCCGATGCCGCCGCCACCTCGTAGATCGCGAGCGCCTGTTGGAGAAGCTCCTTCGCAGCCTCCACGGTCTGCGGCCTGGCCTCGGGCCTCGGGTCGATCATCCCCCGGTCGAGGACGAAAGCGATCACTTGGCGGAGCCCCTCGTCGCTGGCCGCCCGGGAGGAGGTGGTGAGCCATTCCACCCAGTCGTGCTCGAACAGCTTGCGGGGGTGTGCCTGTGCCTCCCGGCGGGCCGCGGTCTGCGGGAGGGGGGGGTCCGGGGACAAGGGAGCATCATGCAGAGCTGAGTTGGGATGGAGTCTTCTAGGTGGGCATATGGCGTCCGTTCTGCAGATGTTGTGCATCTCGAGCAAACACATGTCTTAATACCGAGCACCGATGGTGCCCACCGTGATTGTTCGTGTCTGGAATCGTGACACCAACACCTGCCTGTATTCCGAGTGCGACGCACTTCGGTTTTTTTGCTTAATGCACAATAGTTTCTACTGAGCCACGCAGATTCGCGGAACCACAGGGCTTGTTTCCCTTGGAGCTTGCTCGTTTTCACGATTGGTTCGTTTCTGCGTACGATAGTCGGTTGTTTTGAGATATCTTGCGACAACGGGGATTTCTTCCTTGTTTTTCAAGAGATGGGAAGATGTTTGTTTTTGTTTCTGTGCCGACAACAACACCAGATGGTATCGACCTGTTGAAGGCCATCGTGTGCCCGAAAACCATGCATAGCAGTCCATCTATCGAAGGCTCACCCCTTTCTCTTCGAAACTGAGGGTGTCATCGTCCCTCTCGTCAGACTGTGCCATAAAGAAGCTCAGCGGCTGTCCCAGCTGGTCCAGCTTTGCCCTAGCTTCCTCGTTCGGCACCCAGCCGTCCTCAGCGACGACGCCCAGGTACTGCGATATTTTACGGCCCGAGCAGCGGGGGCACACATCCATCAGGAGATCCGGTGACAATCGGTGACACCGGGCATTGAACGAAGACGGCCTACCTGTCGTTTCGGCCACCACGGGTATCAAATCATGTTTTTCCGTCGCAGCAACCAAAAACAATGCATCAGCGAGAGAGAGAGAGGGTATCAAATCATGTTTTTCCGTCGCAGCAACCAAAAACAATGCATCAGCGAGAGAGAGAGAGGAAGAAAAAGCAGAACAGACTCGCTAGTCCGCTCAAAACGGCCAACCGTCGCGAACGCAGTCTGGAGGATGATGAGACCTGACCAAAAAAGGTGGCTGTTTGAAAAAGTGCCGGTGGCCTTCGATGCGAGGCGAAAGAAGCGAGCGAGCCACAACAACACACAATAGGAGGAAATATCTCACGTGCTCCTCGATCCGCACTTCCTCCAGCTCAGCCTCGTCCTCGTCATCCTGGATTTCGTCCTCGATCTTCTCAAGGAGGTCTTCCCGCGCGACCTCGAGCACCTGAAGGCGGTCCTCGGCTGCCTCGAGGAGCTCCTGGGCGAGCGGAGAAATTCGTCGAGCGACACGCACACAGACAAAGAACACATTTAAGGGAACGAGACGACTATTCTCCAGCCTTGTGGTGTGTAGCTTTTTCCGACCGCCGGCTGAGCTGTGTTTCTTACACCCCGCTCTACCATCTCATTTTCCCGCGAAAACCGGAGCCTCTGATTCTTTGCAGCAACTGCCTAAGAGCTACTGTGGATACCCATTGCATCACCCGCACCTCCTCTCCGAAAGCACACTTGTTCAACATGCCCTCCACGAGCACGACCGAGACGGCGTAAATCTCGGAGACGACCGTCGCTCCCCCTCCCCGCGAGTCGGACGTCTCGGGAGCCGAGTAGCACGGGGTCCCGTCCCCGATGTTCTCGCGCAGGCGCGCCTCGTCCATCTTCAGGCACATCCCGAAGTCCGTGAGCCTGGCGTCGCCGTGGCTGTCAACGAGGATGTTGCCGGGCTTGATATCCCGGTGGACGTATTGCATGTCGTGGAGGCCGCCGACTGCGGTGAGGACGCCGCACAGCACCCTGGGGGGCGAGATGTCGAGTTTGTAACGGGAGGGGGGAGGGGTCATCGTGCGGCTTTGGTGGAGTCCGGTCCGTTGTTCAATGGTCGTGCATGCCGATGCCGTGGTTAGTAACTTCGCGAGGACGTAAGACATCAGGTAGTGATGGTGAAGGGAATTCAACTCCGTTTTCCTGAGAGGGGAGAAGAGCGACGGGTGTGGCATGATGTACGAATGTTTGAGGCCGCACGCTAATGTAGGTCAACATCGATGGCCGGTTGGCTTGCCATGGCGTGCTCGACGACAGAGGCTCTCACCTCACGAGGGCCCGGGGGTCGGTGTTCGACCACCGGCTGAGCATCGAGCTGACGGTGCCAGGCTCCCTGCGCATGAGGAGCATGGGCGCACCGGAAATCGACGATATCTCTTGGACGTGCACGACGTGGGACACCTTGCCCCGCACGTCGCTCAGGGCCGCCACCTCCCGCTCCATCTGCCGGCGTCCGGCCGGCGTGTCCTGGAACGTTTTCGAGTGTTGTTCGGCACGGAACAGAGTTGGTAGTGGGACGGGTTTCACGAACGCACATACGGAGTAAGATACAAAGGGCCGTGAAAAAGTGAGGCAGGCAGATGAGAGGGCAGGTGAATTGTCCTAGGTGCCGGGCGACGGGCATATTGCTGTGGGAAAGCATGAGACCAGTCTTCAGGGACGACTTCTGTGTTGAGCTATACATGCCATATTTCGTTGTACGACGGTCGAAAACGCGACCGCGCAAATACGGCGGAATGTGTTTGGCGGCAATGCCGAATGGCGGCAATTGTTTTGGTAGTAGGCGGTAGTGCGTTTTTCGGCGGTAACGACTTGGGTAGAGGCGGTAAAATGAATAATGGACGGGGGTAAACTGGCCTTTCCTCCTGGGGTACCTGCCTCAAGCTTGAAAACTGCTCGGGGAAAACAAATTCATGTTGCCTCATGGCACAAAGCAACATTCGTACGCACGTGTGGCACTGAATCAAGTACAAACGACATCAATTTTGCTGTCAATGTACACAGCTTACAAAGGAGGTTTCCCCGGCAGGTTTGATACTTACACGAAACGGTCGATGTACTTTGTTCACTGTGTCAGCCACAACAAGCAGCATGCCATGGGTACCCCTTACCTTGGATGTCTTGAACGCGAAAGACTCCTTGGTGGCCTTGTCCTTCACGAACACCACGTCACCAAAACCGCCATCCTAGTGACGGGGGGGCGGGCAGGCAAGGCAGGGAAGGAAACCGCGGAAAAGAAAAACAGAGAAACAAGCCGAGAACACCTGTGCTTAGAAAACTCACCGGGGGAAGTATGTCACTCGAGTACTATTAACTACACAGGTCATATGAATTCTGGGGTGTAACACTATAATCTTTGGCGAACTTCCCCTAGACGTTTCATGCTCTACGGATAGAGGTGAACTCGAGCTGTTTCTGCAGGAAAAAACTAAAACACCCACCGAGTTGACCCCGTCCAGGATGCAGAGATTCATGTTGAGACCGTCGGCGGTGAGGTACACACGAGGCGACGGGAACCGGGGAGGGGGGATGTCGACCACACCCGGCGAGCGCGGTACCACCTGCGGCAACTGCGGCAGCAGGCCAACAGAACGGTGGACGGAGGAGAGGCAAGGGGGAAGCTTGTTTCCGCCAAGCGACGAATATACCAGTCTCCTTCTTATTCGACGACGAAAGGAAAAACAAGGCGATCATTGTCTGTCAAAACGAACCGTGAGCCAACCGTTCTCCGTCTACACCTCTTAGATTCACTAGCGTGTTCGCGTGCATCTACGTTTTGGGTGCACCCTTTCTCGACAAGTGTATTGTTCGCACCAGCCGGAGAAACGAAGGTCTGGAGTTTTCTGTTCTTCTCCATCACACCTCCCCACCCTTGGTGCGGGTGGTGTTTTCCAACAAACAGCACCTTCACTCGGCGCTACACCGGCGGAGTAATGACAGCACACCGCATTCTAGCGGGTTTGAGCTTTACTGTACGCTTGCAGCATCAACTCTACGCTTGCTTGTAGGGTAACATACAAAGGAAGGTCAACTTGTAACGTCACACGCATACCAGCAGGGAGTCTTCGTTCACGCTCTCAAAGATAGCGCCGCTGTCGTTCTCGTTGTAGCCGCTCCCGAAGAACACGGCCCGGGTCGACCCGTGGAAGGAATCCGCGGGAGACGACATCGTGGATGCGGGGGTGAGCGGTGGCGTGGGCGGAGCGACGCTGACCGCGGCGGTCAGAGTCTTCTGCAAAAGCGACGACACCTGGTGCAGTGGACGGCGGGTTGGGGGAGGGGCGCGTGTTAAGTGTTTCGATGCGAGCATTACGGGCAGAAAGTCAATGACACTTCTTTCACACAGATGAAACGTGCCGGTGGGTGGACATGATGAGAGTCACGGCGTTCTGCTGGAAGGTGAGCTAGAACGTGTGCGTCCCTTCCTCACTGACTGCGGTATGGTGAAGGTGGCGAGGGAATGTTTCTGCGTCGTCAAGGACCAAAACACAAAATACCACATAAGAGCTTGCAGACACGGGGAAATAAGGCAGAAAAAACAAGACGCGCTCGCCTGAAGTGGCCAACACTTCGCCTTGGAAGGAGAAAGAAAACTATTGCAATAGACACCAGCAACGACCAGACCCTACCTCTTCCGTCATAGGGTCGATCTTGGCGAGGTAGTCCTCGTCAGTGTCAAGCTCCTCGCACCGGTGCCGCTGCATCTTCTTGCTCTCTGTCGGCGACGCCTCCTCCTCCTGCGTGCAGTCGGACGAGCCGCTGGAAGGCTTCAGCGCCGCGTCAAGCCCGCTCACCCGCATCACCTGAAGCGACGAGCGGCCTCCGATCCCCATCAGCACTTCGGCGCCGGACTGGTCGACGGACTGGTTGCCGTAGATGGCGTCAGTCTTCATCTTGCCGTCGTCGTCGTCCTTGCGGCTGGCTGCCGCGGCGGCCCCCTTGTTCTCGTCGGCGGCGTCCAGGAGGTCCATGTTCTGTGCCTGTGTTGCAAAGGCGGCGATGGTTGTGCAAGCGAGGGGGGGAAGGGGGGGAGGTTCGTCTGACGCTCTCGAGCATGAATCCTCACGTGTTCGGCACGAGTTGGAAGTGTCCACCGGCCCATCGTTTCCTTTCCGAAAAATGCCAATTGAAGGCATGCCAAGCGAAGAGCTAGGCCATAAACAAAATCGACAAGCTCACAAAAGAACAAACGTAAGCACCGGAGTAGCGGGGTCGATGTCGGGCGGTGGCAAAACCAAAAAGTAGAAAACAAAAGGCAAACAGTTCGTGCACCCGTGTCGAGTTCGAGCGGTGGCAAAAACAAAAGTGTCAAAAGCAATGAAAAACAGGACATAGCGGTGTTGACTTCGGGCGGTGGCAAGAAATCACACAGGGTAAAGAAAACAAGAACATCACGCGACACACGACGTACCTCCAGCACATAACGGCCTCGCCTGTCACCGCCGGCGTGCGAGGCGTACCCGGAGTACGATGCACACGCACCGTAGGCCGCGGCCGGGACAGCACCTGCCGCCGCCGCCGCCGCTGCGGCCCCGTGTTCCGTCGCCGTGCCCGCAGCGATTCCCGAAAACGTCGGCGACGCGGAGAGGTGGGGCGGGCAACCCCGACCACGCCCAGCGAACCCAAACGCCGAAGGCACCGGGCCGCTCTCCAGTCTCTCACTCAGGCTGGCGAGCATCGGACACGAGGGCTGCTCCCCGACGGTCGAGGCGGCGGCGCCGGTCTTGTCCGCCCCCTCGCGGGCACCAGAAGAAGACGACGACGACAGTGCCGAGCCCCAGGCCGGCAGCGCCCAGTCGGCGGGGGAGATGGCGGGCACGCTACCACCGCGGGAAAACCTGTCGCCGGCCTCGGAGGTATCGACGGAGTAGGCGTCGACAGTGCACTCTCCGGTCGAGGAAGGGGTGCAGGGGGAGAACGCAGCTCCAGTGTCCCCGGTCACCGCCACCCGCGCGACCACCGCCGTCCGCGCCGCCGCCGCCGCCGCCCCGTCTTCCGTCGCCGTGCCCGCAGCGGTTCCCGAAAACGTCGGCGACGCAGAGAGGTGGGGCGGGCAGCCGCGACCACGCCCAGCGAACCCAAACGCCGAAGGCACCGGGCCGCTCTCCAGTCTCTCACTCAGGCTGGCGAGCATCGGACACGAGGGCTGCTCCCCGACGGTCGAGGCGGCGGCGCCGGTCTTGTCCGCCCCCTCGCGGGCACCAGAAGAAGACGACGACGACAGTGCCGAGCCCCAGGCCGGCAGCGCCCAGTCGGCGGGGGAGATGGCGGGCACGCTACCACCGCGGGAAAACCTGTCGCCGGCCTCGGAGGTATCGACGGAGTAGGCGTCGACAGTGCACTCTCCGGTCGAGGAAGGAGTGCAGGGGGAGAACGCGGCTCCAGTGTCCCCGGTCACCGCCGCCCGCGCGACCACCGCCGGCCGCGCCGCCGCGGCCACCACCGCCGCCGTCCACCAGCAGGCTGCAAGTGGTCCGTGGATGGTGCCGAAAGCGCCGAGCCCGCGAGAAGGTTCGAGAGGTCCGCACATAGCCTCCGAGACCCACCGCGCCGCGACCGAGCGCTGGGAGGCTGACATCCAGCGGTACCACACAGCCGTCCCGATTGCACCCGACGAGCCAGAGAACACGCTGGCCGTCGACGGGAGGGTGAGGAGCTGCTGCTGCAGGGATAGCACTGTCTGCGTTCCCCCGCCGGCGGTTGTGCTACTCAGGCCGGGGAGGAGGAGAGGACACGTGCTGAAAACCCGCGATGCCAAACCAACGGCGGCGGCGGGGGTAGAGAGGACGATGGCGCCGTCGGCCCCGGCGCGTCCACGCACGAGCACGAGCGGCGGCGGCATCACCGCAGAGAACGTCGACGGAAAACGAAGCTGGGCAAAGATTCCGCCGCCGACGCTGATGCTGGTGATGCTGCTCCGCCCGGTCCATCCGCGCCGCAGGAAGATGCGCTGGGCAATGGGGCGGGGAACACCACCCAGCTGCTGCTGGGGAACGGACCGGCTGGATATCCTTGAGTACAACCGAAGGGCTGACTGCACGGAATCGACGCGTACTCGACGACCACCAGGAAGCTGTAGCAGAAAGGGGCGGCAGCCCAAACTGTCACTGCTGTTGTTGATATTGCAGATGTCGCGCCTCCGGGGTTCTGCGACACCCAGCTCCTGGCCGCCGTCATCGTCCCTGCAAGAGCAGGGAGGGGAGGGATTCCCGGCATTGTTTTCGTCAGTGTGATGGTCACGGGTAGAACAAACAACGACACACACTACTACTGTAGTTCAAGACGAACATCATGTAAGAAGGAGAAAAACGATAATTGGTCAATATATACAAAACGTTCGTCATTCGTGCTCATTCCATCATGCTCCCATATATTTCATACCCGTGACCATCACGCTGACGAAACAAATCCGGGAATTCTTCCCGCCCCCCCCCTTCCCGCCCTTGCAGGGACAATGACAACGATGAACCCGCTGTCGTAGAACCCCAGAGGCGCGACGTCTCCGTGCTCAACCGTAATATTCCCCACGTGAACAACGTGATGAGGAACAACAGCAGTAGCATTTTGCGCAGAAGTAGCAATTTGCAGCACACAATGCTACTGCTGTTGTTGATCATATTGTTAACGTGGAAAGTATTGTGGTTGAACATTTAAACGTCGCGCCGCTGGCGTTCTACCACAGCCAGCTCCTGGCCTTGGGCGGGTTCATCTTTGTCCTTGTCCCTGCCTGCAGGGGCGGGAACAGGGGGGGGGGGGCGGTTCTCGGCATGTTTTTCGTCCCAGCGCGATGGTCGCCAGTATAACAAAAGCGGGAGCATGGTGGAACGAGCACGGATGACAAACGGTTTTTTTCACTTCATCTATAAAAACTATTTCCACCTTCATACATCATGTTCACCATGTTCGTCTTGAACTACATGTGTTGTTGGTGAACAAAATGGGACTACGGTAAGATGGCCGGAAACATAGAACGTGTTTCAGACCGTCCTGCAAGCCTCTGCGGTGTCAGTGGTAAAAAGAATCATTTAGGCTCAGACGTTGCTGTCTACCGCAGCCATCTGGATACAACATAGAGTTGACGAACACCGGGAGCTGCTGGTACAATCTGCGTCTGGTCGCTTGACGCGTGAAATAGGTTGAGTTCAATTACTGTAGTAGAGCAATATCCTGGGGGGAAAATCCCATTTCAGGACTTCGATTTCGAAGAGGGGTTTTGGTATGACGCGTCGACTACACAACCCAACACTCCTCCGGTGGGAGGAAGGGAATGGGTCATAGCCTAAACCGGAGCCTCAACTCGTTTCCAAGGCGTCCATTCTCAAGAGTATTCTTCGGGGTTTCGGTTTTCACCTGCTTCTGCGAGGCATGCATGCCTCAGCGCTCGCTACCGCTGCAGCCGCCATGGCAGTCGCAGCAGCGACGAGCAAGAGAGTTCCGACGATGAACACCATCTGTTGATACAGCGTTCATGGGGAAGGAAGGGGCGGATGTCGAGAGGAAAGTTTGCCGCACACCTGTTGCACATGGGCGACTAAAGAAGAATCTATAAACAAGCGAGAAAAATTTCGAGAATCGACGATGGACACCGAGATCCATCCACAGGTGTATGTGGAAACGAGGAACATGCCCATGGTTATCGATCGGCCGTCAATGGTTCACGGCTGGACGGAGTGGTTTCATCCCCCATGCCAGAGAAGCAAGCCAACTTACAACGGGGACACATATGTACAGCGCTGGGTTTGATACATACGTACGTGTTCCACCACCGACTACGAAGTCGGGCAAAAGAACATGAACTACACAACCAGGAGGATATATGTGTGAACGTTATCAAATGTGAACTCGGTGGAACCACTCTTCTCGAGCTGCTGTAGACATTTGTAGGCCAACCTGGGGCCAACATATCTGAACCCCGTCACGTGACAAGTCAGCCAGGAGCGTTTGAGAGAGTTCCGCTACATCGACCTGTAGCAAGGTTGGATTGCGGTATCACGTGGATGAGCTACATGCATGGATAAATATGTAGGACCGCTCACTACAGTACACGAAATAACGTGAAAAACCTACTTCGACGTGGCCAGACGACTAGAGACGGTTTCTTCAGTAGTCTACTTGTTTGCGTCGTGGGCCAAGTCTCTCGAACATCTCTGCGGACGGGCTTGATCTGCCACAGGACCAGATACATACATGGGACGGTCTCTCCCTCTCTCTTCCTCTTGCCCTCCCTTCCCCCTTCACCCCCCTCCGCCCCCTGTCGCTGCCCCTGCTCCTGCTTTAACTCCTGTGACCAAGCAGCGAACGTTGTTACCGGACAAACCGACCTACACGTATCATTTGCTAGGACACACGACATCGACCGCACACACCCACAAGAGCGACCGTCGGCGCTCGGCGACGCCCCTGGTACTCACCGCTGGTGCCCCCAGGGTAGGATCTCAGAACTTTCGCAGTATTTCCCCTTGATCAAGAAGACGAGAGGAAACTGGTTTGCTGTTTTGCGTCTGAGGAGTTTCTGATGCGTGAGAGTGTAGGAAGTTGGGAAGGTTGTCTCTCAAGCCTGGGCCCACTAATGTTGCGGAGTCTCCGGAGAAGCGGCGCAACTCCACAATTCAAACTAGCCAATCATCTCCGAAAAGCCGAATGACGTCTACCCATCTACCGAACCAACACACCAAAATCAGGTTGGCCCTTGTGGGGCTTCGCCACTTCTAACTAAGGAGAGGTCCAAGGACAAACCAGAGATGGGCACGCGACGAACGTCCAGCACTGACTTGTCAACGTAAGCGTGTATTGACCGCTCGAACTGTGCTGGAAAAAACATTCTTGAAATGCAGTCAATCCTCGTGGGTAGAAAACCCCACAACGCCTGCATACCGTATCTTCAATTCACAGCCTCCTGTTCTCATGATGACGGGTGCAGGGTGCAGTCCACTACAGTGTAGTGCAGAAAGCACGCCGGCCCACCCTCCGGATTCGGAGGAATCGCAAAGAATAAGAGGCATCACCACAACTTCTTGTGCAGCATCAGTCACTTCCTGGCGTTGGTTTGTGTTTCTCCGACTGCGTCGACCAGTTGACACGCAAGGAGACTGTTGCTATACATGGCATAATACCCGCGAGAACAAGACTGCAAATCACGTGGTGACTTTCGAAACTGCACTCCTCCTCCTTGGTGCCTGTCCCACGGGTTAGGGGGTAGCAGAACGGGCGGCATGCACACACTGTAGTCTGGAGAGAAAACGGAGCTCTGCCCGGCGCCGAGTATCATGTTGAACGCCTTGAACGGCGCATATTCTTCTGTTTGGATGTGAAGTGTGTACGTGTGCACGGAGATACTGCTGCGCAGAGAGGCGAGTAGAGGCGTTTGTTCAGAGTTTGAAAAAACCAAGAGATAGAGACAGACAGACAGACAGACAGACAAGTATATTTTCTATTTCTTTGTCAGAAAAATGGAATGTTCGGCCATTGATGGTTTTCGGTTGTACACCGATGTTTGTTGGGCCGCTGTACAGCAGTTGGGCCATCATATAATCTTCTCGCAACAGACCATTCGACACCCCAGGTACACGAAGCACGATAAGATATCCAGGAGGCCCGACTACCCTCTCTGTCCTGCCGGCATCAACGCGATAGCCGCCGTCGTGCCTCATCAAGATCGAATATAAGCCTTCCTTCGCGTCCAAACCGACAGTCGAACACCAGGTGCTGAAGAAGGTCTCTGCTGGAGAACGTGTGCTGCAGTTCTAGCCGTGGTGATTGTGTGTGTCGCGTGTGCTCTCGTCGACATCACATGTGCCACACCCGGTACCTGGTTGTCGTACCTAACAGTGACACTAGGACGGCAGGAAGCCTGGCGAAGCCTTACCTGCGGCCATATTTCGGAGATGGCGGAGATCGTGAAGGCCGAAATAAAGGGGTGGCGCAGGGTGCAAGTCGACAAGCTGACGCACGGCTTCTGGAGGTGCTACGTGCGGCGCGAGATCTTGCGTGTGGCAGGGGTTGGAGTAACCCCGGAATGCTTCGCCCACACGAACCCCGTCGCTGCCGCCGCCGCCGCCTACTACGTGGATCGGTGGTCCCTCCCCATGGGCTCCCCCGATTGGACCACCTTCCGGCGAGTGGGCCACTTCCGTCACGAGGAGGGGCATCACCACGACGACCACCGGTACCAGCCACCGCGGTCGCAGCAGCACCATCACCACCAGAAGCACCAGCCAAGCAGGTCTGCCCACTGGTCAACAAGACCGTTCCATCAGATCCCGCTTCACGAGGATGCGAAGGAAAGAGCAACGATAAGGTGCGATCGACGGCCTCCCGGCTCTCAACACAGGCGGCTGCTGCTGCCGCTCCCGGGTGGTCCAGTCTGTCAGGCTCGACGACCCAGAGGGGACTCTCGAGGGTTGCGCCGCACACTGATCGACCAGCGCCGGCGGCGAGGGGGTCAGTTTTTTCGGCATCAGCTCTGGGGACGAGGAAGTGCTTCTTTCGTCTACGACAGCCTTCGAACGACAGCCTGTGCTGAATCGCAGCAGAATCGCTCACTGACTACCATTGGGAGAGTCCAGAATCTCCCAACACTCGTTGCTCCCTGCGTTGATTACAGCCGTTCCTTACAAACCCCTTCTGCCCCTCTCTGCGCGACAACCTGAAATCTGTATCACCGACCACAGGCCGATCGTTTTTCTGTATGCTTCCGATCGTCTCTGGATGGGCGCGTGTACAGGCACATTGTCTTAGCCGTGCGCAGTGGGGGGAAGTGGGGTTCTCTGGGTCTGAGTCGCCGCGACACGCTCCTGTACAAGGAACTGAAGTGAGTCATTGCCTTGTACGACAAGAGGTGGGTAGATTGCCCGTGCCCTAACGGGTACTCTAACTTGTACGGCGTGATTCTCCAACAAGATCTACAAGGTTTCTCCGGTAGTACTGACGGCTCATGTCCACATACATAGGATATCAACTTCACACCGACGCACCATGCCACGCATGGGCATGCATGTTGCAAGTACGAGCTGTTTTCGAAGCTTGTTGGTGACTTCAGGGAATCGTACGCTAGCAGCTGGCACCGCCTGGAATAGGTCTGGGTAGGCTTCCCTCTTCCTCATGGCATTTCTTGCAACGTAGCCGTCAAGTGGAAGGTATTGGTGGTGTGAGTTTTCTTGCATGTCTCCCTGAGCTGTTGGGCAGATGACATGAAATCAACCATTGGAAGCAATTCACGGACGGCAGAAATCTGGCACCAGACCTGCGACTCGGTTCCACTTGCGGGGGGTTGATACTGTATTTTCGAGTGAGCGAATCTTCAAATATGAACCACAGCATCAAAGTTTCGTCCGTTGGCACGGTGACAACCACGCCGCAAGCCGTCGGGTACATCAGCGAGAAGTGGTCACGTGACCTGTATTTCCCTGTTCCGACCTATGGCGACTGTATTTACGTGTTGACACGAGACCCCCACAAGCTAGCGCCAAACTGCCTGCCATAAACAGTCATAAGCACCTGTGCTGTTTTCACTGGTCCAGGTGATGCGAGCAAACGTCGGAACGGATCCGGAATGATCGTCAGCCGCAGAAGATCTCAACCGTTTCGTTGCCTGCGCGAACAGCCTTTTCGAGAGCTTCACTACCACCGGAAAGCTTCCCTATCTCCCTCTCCTCAGCAACAGCACCGACACCAGCAGCAGCAGCAGCAGCAACAACTTATCACCCTCAGCAGCAACCAGCAGCGGCAACGGTGAGGAAGAACGTGGTACGGGATGGGAGGGAGATCCAACCGATCCGAGAGGGTCCCCGGGTGGACAATCGCTGGGTGTCAGGTCTCCAGGATTTCCGCCGCTCGCACCCGCGGGCAGCCCGGGCAGGCGTGGGGGGCGGTGGAGTAGACGCGCGGCACGCCTCTTAGACCTACGAAAAGTGGAGGAGGAGGGAAGGAAAACGGTGGGATCGTAAGGCGTGGCGGAGCCGGGGGCGGGAGCACCGGGGGCGCCGCCGCCAGCTCGGGGGGTTCGGATGACCCCAACCTTGTCGCCTCGCCTCCACGGCCGAGATCCAGGTCGGTCGTCGTTGACGGTGGCCGCGGCGCAAGGAGACGGCGGTGGGTCTCCAGGCAAGTCTAGGCGGCGCATGTCCAAGAGTAACAACAAAGACAAAGACGACAAGCCGAATTGCGATGCCACCGATGCGGCTGATGCTGCCGCCGCCGGTGGTGTTGCCGCTGTTCCGCATAGTGGAGACGGGGAAGCAGCCTCGAACGAGCTATCGCCACCCCCGAGGCCGCCACCAGTTTAGTAGCAGTGGTTGATTGAGCTTGTCGTGTTCTTCTCAGCCGAGGGTGTCCCGCAGAGTAAATTTGTTGTGGTTGATGCGAAGACGAACAGTAGACAGCGTGATGCGTGGGGAAGTGGTGTGGTAGACTGCTGCGGGGGATTGTTCTTGGCCAACCCTTCTCCTTGTTTTTCCTGGGTATGTCAGTATTCATCTTTTATTCTTCGCGAGGTGTTGTGTTGTTGTCATTGTTGCCTTACACATCGTTCCGACCTCTGCGTAGTATATTTTCCAACATTTCAATTCCAATGGTCCAACTAACGCGTGATCATAGGCTTACGGCCCCCAAACGGGTACATTGTTCACATGAGAGAAAAAAAGACCTGGATACCAACGCACAAGCGACTACAACAAAAAACAAGACATACAAGCCCCCAGGCGGTCAGACATCGCAGCTGTCATGTCAGACGAAACATGGTAGATCGATAGGCAGAGCTTATCTCTGTGGTTGTGCGTTCTGCCTTACTCTGATGTTGCTTGTGATCGCGAAACACGCTTCCGTTTCTTTGAAGGGAAACGAAGAGGAGGTTCGGGTGGTGGTCAGAACGGTGCTTCATGTATCAATGACGCCATGACAATAAAAAACCAAGACCAAACTCAACAACCCATACTGAACCCAGTCGAAACGATCACAAATTTACACAAGACCTGGGAGAAAGAGCGGTGTGAGCAGCTGGGGGGTG